AACAATTTTTCTGGCCTTCAAATCAAAACATAAACACATTTCGGGTTTTAATATAATTATTGCGTTCATGACGTTGACAGTACTAGCTGTCCGGGGGGTAAGTGTCCGGGGGGTTATTGTCCTGAAACCTTCACTTCCTCCATTGCCATTGCTAAACTCACAGGCAGACACTGTGCAGAAAATCGACGTCGTTCAAAACTCCTTCTGTTTGCTGATTGGCCCAGATAAATTAAACTACAAGCAGACACTGTGCAGAAAATCGACGTTGTCATTCAAAACTCCACCTTCTGTTCTCTGATTGGCCCGGACAAAACTCTGATGAAGAAATCCTCATCTATGGGAGAAATCCCAGATGGAGCAGTGAAGGGAAACTAGAACTGAAAGGCAAGGACCAGGCTAGGTGATAACTATTTATCGGCCAAATTTCAACAAAATAACAATTTTTAAAAGAACTCTGTTCATTCATTTTTTAAAATGATTTTGTAACATGGTTCAGTTCCTTTCACTGATGTTGAAAGCTTGAAACAAAGAGACACTCTTTCACTCCCTGTCAGCACACTCATAGTAGCCTATAGATCACATAAAATACAGCTCCCATGAAAACAGTGTTGGTCTGACAGTATCAGACCCAACCAAATTGAAAACAGCACAGATGTCAATACCGTGGAATTTCAGCGTTCTTCCTGTATCAGTATACTGTGTAATACAAATTGATTCATCTTCTGCATTCCGCTGCGATCACTGCCATCTGGAAAGATGCTCTGCAGTGGGAGAAGTTATCATCGGGCTATGATTAGAGGATGTACTCTTATTTCATTGATTGGACAAACCTTCAAGTCAGAAGTGATAATTGTGTTGAGGTGAGTAAAAGCCAATAATACATGTAGGCTGTGATTTAGAGCAAGTTTGGTTTTGACACTGCTGTGTATGGTGTGTAAGAATAGGTCTCATTTTCCCATCCCTGTACAGATTCTTGCTAGGAGTCTGAGAGCAAAGTGCTCTGTTAGAAGATATTCAGTACAGAATGTAGCTTGATTATAAACATGAACAAATCTAGTCATCATGTGTTTTTGGAAATGTATTTGGATAGGACTCTTGATTTTGACGAGATGGGACAAGAGGCTTTTATTTACCTATTAATGCTTATTTATGTCTTAGTTAATCTACTGCTCCACAGGAACAGCCTGCAGCATGTATAACTTAATAAACTCTGAGATACTGAAGTGTTACAAACCTCATGGGATGTTTCCTCCTTGTCGAGGACTCTCATCAGTGTGTGGTTCTGSGCATAAATGTGTTTCATAAATTCTGTAAAACCTATAAACAGGTTTGAAAAAGCCTTTCGTGAGCCTTGCATATTTTTTCTTCCCTTTCGCTTTCACATTATGCTTGTGTGAGCGCACACACAGGTAGTACCCAGTGTGGGCCGCAGTAATGAGCATCTCCTGCAGTGCGTTCCTGATCCTGCTCTCACATGGAAGCCTCAAATCTTTTGTCATTAACGCACCGTTTGTTTCTTCTTCATTATTGCGTGCAGCCATTGTCCTTGCATTTTAAGTTTCGATTCCTCTGTTCTTTCTCCTTAGCTCTATTGCATACATTAGCTATGTCTTTTTTTTGTACATTTAGAAGGGTAAAAATTACCAAAGCAGCTAGAGACATGATAGGATTTCACCAGTGACTTCAGTTGGGTTTCTGAATCATGTTATATCGACATCAAACTTTTTTACTGGCCAATCAATCAGATCCCACTCTAACTGAATGACGGTCTCCATCAAAAAATCAAAATAGGGAGTGGGCTTGTGACCTGAGGTAAAGTAGTCTGGCTGCTTCCATGGATTAAACAGTAAATGCTTAATGGAGAGTGGTGTGTGGTCATTTAGGCGAGGTCCTGAGTTATGACTTTCAAGGGATCCATAGGTTAGCCTGATGCCAGATGGTTCTTCTAGCCCCTGATAGACCTACACTGAAAAAAAAGGGATTTTTGGGTGTAGTAACATTTATTTAATTATTCTTTTAAATTTTACAAAAAAAAAAATCCAAATTTATAAACTACTAGAATTTACTAAATAAACAATATGCATTATATTATACAGTATATCAGTATTACTGTCCAAAAAGGTAAACGCTAATATTATTTTACTAGTAATATATTAGTGCTTTTTCTGGACAGCACTTAAACATGAATATATTAAGTAACTTCTACTCTTCTGGGCTAAAACTGAGGGTGCATGCACACACAAAGGCTGCTGCTCCTCATTCCCTTGCTTCACTTTTCAAGGAGAGGACAAGACATGGTCAAAATTAAACATAAGTTGTCTGGTTTCTTTTGCTTGAATACATTTGTTGGTGTGCAATAGTTTGACATAATGTAGGTGATATTTTGTTGTCAGGGAACAGGGAATGTATATTGTAGCATTCTGCTGTGTTTGGCTGTTTGTCATGTGACTGCAGTGGAGGATTGTGGGTAGGATTCATGTTTGTTGTTGTTAAATCATTTTAGGGAATTGGTTAACATTGTTCTTTCACCAAATAATCTGTTGTGTTACTCTAATTTGTGTGTTCATTCTTTGTTAACTTGTGTTAAACTGTTCAGCAGAAGTWACCATAAGTGAGAGTGGTAGGCCTAGTCATTAAYAAGACCTGTGAGTTTCACTTTGTTTTGCTCATGAAGGAGAATCCAATAAAGGTTCTTCAAAACTGCCACCTGGTGGTGAAGTCTTGAACTACAACAAGAGCTACACTTACTCTCTCTGTAGCTGTGAGGTGTCATGCTACAATGTTGTGCTTGACACATGTGCACTGATACAAAGAACTTGTAAGTTTTTCTAGAAAAAATCCTCGTAACAATTTGCACTAATGTTTGTTAAGTAAATTTAAATGCTACAAATTCATGTAATATTTACTTATCATTATCTAGTAAAAGTAAATAAGAATATAGTTAAAGATTTGTGACTAAATCAGGTAAATTTTACTTAATTTGATCGAGTGTATTTTACAAGATTTAATTGAGCAAATTAAGTAAAATTTACCTGATTTATTCGTAAATCTATAACTATATTCTTAATAACTTTTACTAGATAATGATGAGAGTAAATATTACATGAATTTGTAGCATTTAAATTTATTTACCAAACGTTAGTGCAAATAGTTTACAGGATTTTCCCTAGTAAATGTTACAGGTAATTGTTTACAGTGTACTGATGGTCCTGAATATTTTAACTTTAAAGCCTCCTCATAACATCATCCGCAAGAGCCCAACATCGTTTACTGCGCGATCCAGTACGCAAGAAGGGAAGACTGCAACTACAGGCACTGCAGAGACAAATATTTACTTTAAATGGAGCCAACGAACGCACACAAGAATCATCCCAGCATACTGATGAAGGCAAAACAGACTTTTCGACACGTAGACATGAATATGCACACACACTGTCGCACACACTCGTTCAAAGACGCACATCGCCTCATGCAAAGAAACAACTGTACACAAAAAGCAATCAAGCACATTTGCGATTGAACTCCTTTTAACGCAGCAGCAGCGGCAGCAACCTTTGAGTAGTTGGCAGGTTTACAGTAAAGTGTTTTCTCGGCRCACAGCTGCATACAGATGTGGTCCAAAGCAGTTTGATGAATATTTTACTTCAACCTTATGTAATGCTAACAGAGACCGGCAGCTGCAGCTCAAGAATATTTTAGTTTTATTCTGCGAAGTGGGAGTTGCCGCGACAAGCATTTGGGGAAAGGATAATTCATGATCACAGACGAGATCT